TATTTCTAAACATCAACAGTTATGTGTACATGGAAAGGAGCAATGAACCAGGATCAAATATTATATATATAAAGATTTTATATCTTGCTTTTATATGCTACTGTGGCTAATAGGAGAGGAGAAATATAAATAAAAACTGCATCTGTGAAACATTTTATTCTCAAAAGTGAACATTCCGAATCTTATTAAGATTTATTAAGTTCATGTGATATTGTGAGAACTATGAAAGTACTTCATCGTTTTAATATCACCCACCTGTATTAGGTTTTTGGCTTTTATTAAGTTTTATTATGTTCAAGTGACCTTATGAGAGGATATTTTTGAAGTTTCAGTAGGGTTTGTCTTGCTGGCCAAGCTCGTTTGAAGACAAAATTTTCGTATTATTTTGTGATATATTATACAACACCTATTCAAGTTTCATACTGATTACCTGTTTACTTAGGTATCACTATTTCACAGAAAACATTACTTCATATGATAAAAAAGGATAATGAAGTAGCATATATGTATATAAATATTAAATCTTCATGAATTATGTCTTGAAATGTATTTATCTTGCACTGAATAAGAACAAAACTGTATACCTGGAACCAACTCATAGACTCATGCTTATCTAGTAATACTACAGGATTTGGAACACTCATATCTATTTTCAACCCAGAGGTGGCACTAGTGTGGAACACTTGAATAGGGCTGTTGAGTTGATAAGCTTGCTGAATAACACCAGCTGACTGAAATGTACCTGAAAAAGATGATACAGAAATAAGCACACATTTCATACCCAGATAAGATATTTCTCTGGAAATTAAGATCATTATCATTTAACTAGACAACACATATTATTACTTATCATCAGAGAAGATTTTCGTATTTTAAAGATTATAGAGAATTTTTGATGATATAATAACATGAATTTTTTTCAAGAATAATAACAATAAAAAATCTTACCATTATAGGGCATAAGTGCATATGTGAACTGATGGCATCTCATATCAGCTTTACTGTCTGGAGATTTTGAGGACCTTAGAAGGGAAATTCTCATAGTACTGCCATGAACAGCATGCCCATATTTGTTTGTATTCAGTAAGGCCACACCACAATCATATTCTGACAGGGTCACCCATTTGTGACCACATACCTGATTGAAAAATATTAACCAATTTAAATAACAAAATAGTTTACCACAACATAAGTGTAAATATTTATTTGCCATCATTAAATAATACAATCTTTCTAACTGCAAAAACATTATAGACACAAATATACCTTGTTGTGATATAAAATAATGCTATATGAATTGAAGAATTAGCTGAAATAAATATATTAAGATGTTTTTGTACTAATAAGCTGGTGCAATAGTCTTTTGATGATCTGGAAGGCTTTGATTCCTGTCTGGTCTATTATCTTTTGTAACAATACTCTACAATGAAAGAAGATTCTGCGATGATTAGTTTTACATGTTTGGCTTTGATGTCTTACAAAAGGAAAATATTTTCACCAAAAACTGGCTTCAACACACTCCTTTGATAACACTGAAAAGCTGAACCTCATTTAAAACAACATTCCTCATTTGAAGCTAGCTTACTATAGCTTATTCATAGAACAGTCTTAAAGGTCTTTAGAAACTGTTTCTTTGTAGTTAGGCACAAAGCTAAAAAATGGGCTATCTGTGCTGTGCCCACCACAAGTATTGAAACCTAGTTTTTGGCATTATAAGTCACAGACTTACCACTTTCTTACTGGAGGTCCTTTAAAAACTGAATTAGGGTCCATTAAATCAATTTGCTAATTAATTTTACGCACAGTGATGGTAAAATATTAACTAACTTTTATTAGAGTGCTTGGATAAATTCATGTATCATTCAAAGTATTGAAAAATTTCAATATATGTGTATCATAAAGAGGATGATATTTGCAGAGATTTCTTGCAACTTCAAAGAAGAAGCTTGTGGAGGAATCCATGAATTTATATATACATGTGTGTGTGTGTGTGAGTGTGTTTGTGTATGTGTGGTGACAGAGCATTATGTCGCCAACAGTTGGTGAGATAATCTAATAATACTTAGAGGTCTTTACATCAGTGGGCCATCTAGGAGTACTGCCTAGAAATCTATACTGTAAAGAATTTTCTAGCTCACAGATCCTCTAATTACCAGAAAACTTTCAGAGGTTGTTGGGTATACCCAAGAAAGATTCTGAAACTCTTAACTTTGTTAATTTTCCCACATTTATGAATTAGCTGACCATTTCAATTTTCCTTTTCCTACTACCTTTGTGTCTATTTTCAAAAATCATCAACTATTTTTGGTGGAAATTGCAAAAAAAAATCAGAATAAGTGAAAACGTAAAAAAAATTAAAATGTAAAAACATATATTAATTTGGAAGTTGTATTCATACATGAGTGAAACCAATTTTAGTACAGCTTTCAAATAAAGAGAAAATTGGTGTTTAATGCTTTCTGAGATTTAGTAATGATAATTTATTTTGTTTTTAGACCCCTCTATCTAACTCTCAATAAATCAGTCTTTTACACTAATATTGTGAGAAATGAAATGTTATTGCTGATTTCTATAGCTACAAGAATAAAACTTCTCTAATAAGTTGTACCTGATCCAAACTTTTCAGTATTTTAAGAAACCTTTGAGTTCCTCAATTAAACATCTTTAGAATAGATCTTTTATATCATTGTATTTCAAAACTAATCCAAAACAAGAGGGAGTCTTTAATAGCCACGACACTTGAAATTCTTTTAGGCATGATTAGAGTAAATTAACCTATGAGACCTTTTTTCTTAGCTATATTTTTGTGCACCAGCAATACCAAGTGTGGGGCTCTTTTTTATTACTCATCAGAATCTCTACCAGCCTACCCTCAAATTAAAATTATTTTAGGCAAGATTAGAGTAAATTAACCTATAAGACCTTGAGCATGGTCAAATACATCAATAGAAAGGGTTTGACCTTCTGAGTCCAAAACTGTAATTAGACCTCAAATCAGTCAAGAGCTGACAGAGCTATGAGCTAAAAGTTTGTACTTGAAAATAAAACAAAAAACAAACAAACTCAGAGCCATTCTATGTGCTGCTGTGCCATGGCTAAAAAATAATATGTAATACAATCAATTTTAGTAATCTACATTTACTATCTCAAAAAGTAACTGTCTATGAACTTTTGTCTTGTTGAATTTGAAAAAAAAAACAGAAGCATACATGTTACATCTATGTCTTTAAATACAATTTAACTATGTATATGTAGTGTATACATGGCTTAACATTGAAACTGTGTATTCTTCTTACATTATTATACATTAATTTACTTTTATTCATTAAAGGAATTAATTTTTAAAGATTATTACCAAAGAAATGTACATACTAATGTTTGTTAATATGCATGTTACATGACAGCAATACTCTGTTGTTGTTTTATTTTTTGTTTATGTGGAGGAGTACATGTTAGAAAAACCTCTAGTTGCTGAGAAATAACAATAAAGTGGCTTTCTTTACACTAATTCATCAGTCTTGATCAATCCCAAACACGAAATTCATGTCTATAGCACTTAGCTATTGAAAGATTAAATATACAAGGAACACTACATGGGAACATACTATCCTGTCATAAGCTCAAAACTTCAAAGAAAGCAGAGAAGTATCAGGGTTTCATGGTCACTGTACATAAGCAACTACACCACACATAATGTCTACAAAACCCACTGAGGTTTTCTGATACTGGCATTCAGTTGATCCTAGCCTCAATTTACCAGCCAACTGACCTTTAGAATACCATCTCAGGAATTCCCACCTATAGGAATTCAAGGCCAGAGTAGTATGTTGCAATCACTCAACTACCATGGTCCTTTCCTCCCTTTAACAGGTCACCATGCAAACCAAACATCTGTGGATGTTTGCAGTGCAAAGAAGATAAGTTGCACAGGCAGAGCCTTCCCTAGGAGTTCTCCTCACTATGCAGAGGTATCCATATTGAAGTAAGCAAATTTATTGAAGTCAAGATGAATTATAAAAAAGATAAGAAAAGAAATGGTCAAGCATCAATTAAAGGAAAAATACAGGCAAATTCGTTTTCGAAACAAATCTAAAAATGATAGATATTAACAAATTATATACTTCACAACTATCAATGCCAGAAAACTGACAATTTATTACAATGGTGCAAAATGTCTAGGCTAACACATCAGTGATTCAAACCATGCTTGATACAAATTAAGATTTGTCATTTTTAACTTGACCAGAAATCTCACTTTTCTGATCCATATCTCATCTAGCTACATCAGAAATTGCACACATATGTGTAATGTGACATTATTTGGTTTTTTTCTTGATTCACAACACTTATTTTATTAGAAATCATGGTGGTAAATACAAAACTTTTGAAATTTAAAGGAAAAAGTTGTCACAAATCAGTAAATTACAATATTCTGTAATTCTTGTTTAGCTGCATACAATATTGTACAAACACACATACATCATTATAACATTAAAATCATTTTACACTGACCTCATATTTTGCCCAGTCCCAAGATGTGTTAAAGTGGGTTGGACGTTGCAAGTGGCCAAACTGAATCTCATAAGTTGCTTGATTGGCAAGAATGTTTACAGGAAACTCAACCTATATAACAAAGATATAGTGTAATTCAGGTAAATAAATGTCTATAAATATTTCACCCTTATAAAACCCTCTTTTCAAAGACATTAAATGAAATATTTAGGTAATAAGAGTGAAAATATACTGTACCAAACAAAAAAACCTTTATGAAAAAAAAAACCTCTTCAAAGTTTTATTCTAATTTTAGTTAGTTAATGTACTAAAGAAATACAGTTTGAAGCAAAAAAAAAAAATTAATTGACTTGAAGTTCTAAATTCATGTTAAAGGATGATCTCAATATGAAATTTAAGCAATGCAAAACACCACATACTTATTTGCAGGTGTCACAATGCATGACCTAGTTTTTCTTGAAACCCAAAGTTTAAACATTTGCAACAAATAGGCATGCAGTTATAAACAGTTTTATATTATTAAACTCTAAGAAATAAAATTATAATTGTACAGAATTAGTAACTGCAAATACAAAATATGAAGTACACAAGTCACATCTGTTTCATTTATTACTATTAAAATGTGATCCAGTAAGAAAGTACAGCCAGCAGCAGGAATGAAAAATAACTACAAAAGAAGAAAGCTTCTCATGAGTATATGTATACTGAACGAGAACTGAAGTAAAATAAACTGATTTAAAAATGAAACCTCTTTAATAAATTAACCTGATTGTGTGCTATTAAATTATGATTATGTGAAACACCTCTATGAAAAAATTCAAAGCCATTTCTATGTCACACTAGGGTAAAGAAGGCAAAATATCATTTTCATTATGAATTACTTGGAGCTTTGGAACTGTCTGCAGATTGCAGGTTCCAATCCCATCACCACACATGCTCATCTTTTCAGCCATAGGGTCATTATAAAGTGACAGTTGTTACCACTGTTCAATTATAATAGTCAAAGAATTGGCAGTGAGTGGTGTAGACTAGCAGCCTTTCCTCTAGTCTATCACTTCCAATTCATAGACAGATAGCCCTTAGGTAGTTTTACACAAAATTCAGCAAACAAAAAAAAACAAAAAATACATCACATTCAGTACCCAGTTTGGTAAACGTTCCAATAATTTTTTTTTATCAAATAAATTATGATATTATAACTTTGTTTAATATTTGTAAACGGTAAGGCTTGAATTTCACTGTAATTGACATATGATATTTGCTAATTCCAACTTGAACAGCACCTTTTGCAAAACATGGGTAAATATGTTAGGTTAAAGACCACATGCATAGCCATCCTGAACTTATAACTGTTGAACAGAAGTTCAAACAGTTATAAAAATGGAATGTTTATGCGACTATTCTTAACTGGATACTGTAATTGAGAGTTACTTTTATTGCATATCCACAGCTGTATTCAGAGGGTGTATTCAGCAGCATATTGTGAGTTTGAACCTTGTACCTTCCAATCTGCAGTCCAGCATACTAACCAACTAAAGCCACACATAGCTGAATCTGATATAACCTTGATTTTTTTGTAGTGATTCAGATATATACATGGTTTAACCAAACTTTTTGTACTGCACTACCTCAAAGATAAAAGCAAGATGCAAGTTTTGTAGTAAACGAAAAAAAGAAATAACATGATTTCTTACATGATGATTTATATATTTTGGACATTATACTTATGTTTTAAAAAATAATAACAATGTGTAATGATTATAAATGAGGAACATGGCTTTTTTTAATGCAGATGTCAGTGGTATTTTAAATAAGTTCCCTTTGACTGCAAGGTTGCATTTCATCAGGCAATTGTTGCTTTAATAGAAGATGCTGGTAAAACAGCCATGCTCTATCCTAATCCACAGTGTCGCATGCTACTTTTTATATACTGTATGATAAATCATAGTATGTATATTTTTAGTGGAGCCCCTAAAGCTCTTGCTTTAATCCAGCTCTCTTTGTAAGTTAGGGTTACATCATGCATCTGCCTGTGAAATAATACATTAACTCAAGGTCACATTATATAATTATGTGTTAAGTAATGTAATGAGTCAAGATAACACATTACACAATGTGTATATTTTTGAATTTGTATAAAATCTCTGGATTATATAATGAATAAACTTCTGAAGTAATTTATAATGTCAGCAGTTCTTATTAATCTATTTAGCACAAGAGATTATGCAACAAAAGCTAAAATTCTAAGATATGATCTGCCAAAATTTTTAATTTTCCAACACTTAAAATTTATTTCTGATAGATACTTACCTCCTTCTGACACGTAGAACTATTCTCGTTCATTTCTGCCCTCTATATGCAAAATTTTCTGCATGCCACAAGTCTTCAAACTCCCATCTACACCATGATCCATATGGTTCATAGCATCTTCAAATGTAAATCATCATGTGACAACCCTCCACCAATAGTAGTGCATTACAGCCTCTTGACGTATGTGATTCTATCTAACTATCACTTTGAGATTAGGAAGAAAATAAGCTCCAGTTTTAAGTGGGGAGGAAGGGTGGGAAGTTTGAGAAGAGATAAATACCTATCAGAAATAAATTTTCAGTGTAGGAAAATTATAACCTCTGATATGATATCTTACCTCCCCTCACACATATAGCTAGAATCCCACACTGACCCAATGGATGGACCGGTGCAAGAGATATAAAAAAGTATTCTTTGAAAGCATCTGAAAAACACCCAATGAGTTTTAACCCCTTTTGGGAGAGGAACACATATGGGAGACCACACCACTTCTCTACCACGTATACTCTTCACCCTGTGTGGTAATAGGTGTCACATACATAGGTGGAAAATGGGAGGAGCACATCCAAAGCAGGAGAGAAACTGGGCAGGCTTGAACCCAAGTCTCACAAATGAATGGATGATCTCCATCCACAAACTGGATGATGGGGAAAGTAAAAATGTGTAGAGTGGCTAGGGCACATCAGGCCATACCAAGCAGGTCAACTCCAGTCCAAAACCAGATGGCATCAGGCTTACATCATCTGACCCATGGTAGGAGGAGGGTCCATGCCATCTTCACCTCAATTTGAGTAAAACAGAAGGAGATAATTTCTGTACTGATCTACAAAACAAGGCAAGTGCTCAAATCCACAACCAGTCATCAGGGAACCTGACCTCCAAACGATGGTAGGAAGGGATGTGATAATGTTGAGATTTAACATCAAATCCAAAACCCATTGGACTTGTTCCACACAGTGCAACATAAGCCTTAGGTAATGAGTTCCCCTGAGGTGGAGTGCTAGAGGGACAACATTTGCCTTATGCAACATCATCCTCCAGATAAAACCGCACAGGTGCTAGGGTGCAACATCAACGTCTGGGACCCACTGCATGGAGGTGGAGTGCAAGGTTGGAGGATCAATGCCATCTACACCAGCAGAACACCAGTGCCATACTCTCTACTGAATGGAAGTGATCACATTTAGGAAGACACCTCCAGGATCCACAACCCCAGTGGCTTGGAACTAGAAGGTGGTAAGAACTGTCATATTCCACACGAAGAACATGGGGGGAAATATCGGGGAAGAGCCTGGAGGAATGCTGACACTGGAGACAGTTCTATGGGTAACCACAAAAACCCTATTTTTAAAAGCAGCTGCCTCTGATTTATTCATTATAAGAGACAGCAGCAAAGATTGGCAGCTATCCTCTTCTGCTTTACCCATGAAAGTCCGTAGGTTAGTATGGTCCGGAATGGGAATACTTATAAAAAAAAATGTATTAAGAGGAAATCTGCAAGTGATCTTGTGGAACACCCCACCTCAACAGCATGCATTATATTGATGGAGGGTTGGTTGTCACATGATGATTTACATGTGAAGATGCTGTGATGCATGTGGATTGTGGAGTAGGTGGGAGTTTCAAGGATTGTGGCATGCAAAAAATTTTGCATATAGAAAGCTGCACCGAACAAGAATAGCTCTATGTGTGAGCAAATGTAAGATACTGTATTGGAAACTAAACTACAGTTAAATACAATATAAAAAAGTAAGGAAAATGCTGAAATAATATTTTAATAAGTGTTGTACCATTTTAATTTGTTCATACAAACAACTCATTCTCATTTCTTATTGACAGTTAGCACATTTGTGTCTTGTGGGCTGGTGAGTTGCTGATCTGTTTAATAGAATTCTCACATATAAATTATTATTAATTTAGTTGAACTTTTTTAGGATATTGCTGTCTTTCCATCTGCACTTTGTTATATAATTATGTTGTTCCCAGTGTGTGTGTGTGGGTATGGGGAAGCACTGCACAGCTTCTTATATTGTAATGTATACACATGGAGCATTAAATTCTGATGCTTGGAAACCCTGTAAATTCCCTTAGACATAGGTGTATTTCAAATGAATGAATAGTAAAAATTTAATAACTATGTGAATGTCAAAAGAATATGTTCTTATATAATGTAAAAAAGTCCAATCTGAAACTGGACTGGTGTTTAAAATTGGGCATGAGAGGCAGTATATCAGTAAATGAAGAAATTGAATATACTTGCATTGAGAGGCCCACAAAACTTTGAAGACTTGAGCCAGCATCAAAGTTAATATGATTCTGCTTACAAAGAATCATCTGCAAATCTTTGCACCACAGGTGACATGTTGCTTCTTTAAATTTGGATCATGATAAATGTACATCATCATCACAAGCATGATAACAACTGAAGGTATATGTCACAATTCCTTACATTAAATATTACAAATATAGTGAGTCTGTTAAACAGCAGACTGTTTTCAACACTAAAAGGCTCTGAAACAATGTTGTAAGCCAATCTGGAAAAATGCCTTCTTCTGCAAAGTAATAGGTATGGTTATGAAAGAAAACTCTCTGGCTGGGGTGAATTTCAAGAAAATTTAAGAAAGTAACCAGCATACCTGCAAAACAATTACATAAATACACATGCTTGTAACATCCATCCCTGTGACTTTTAAAGGTGTCTCAATTTATAAGCAGGATAAGTATTATGAACATTTTACTACAGTACTATATCTAATATTTATAAGTTGGTACAAAAACTTTTTAGCTGTGTGCATTAGTGC